AATACTACCAACAGAGTAGAACACTTAGAAGATAGAACATCAGACAATGAAGACAAAGTATTTCAACTGGAAAAGAACATAGACAGCTCAGCAAGACTGTTAAGAAACCATGAGCAGAACATCCAAGAAATATGGGATAACATTAAGAGACCAAACTTAAGAGTCATTGGGATACAGGAAGGTACAGAGCTCCAAACCAAAGGAATGAGCAGTCTATTCAATGAAATAATACAAGAAAACTTCCCAGACTTGAAGAATGAGACAGAATCCCAAATCCTAGAAGCCTACAGGACGCCGAATGTGCAAAATCATAAGAGATCCACACCTAGACACATTATAATGAAGATGCCCAACATACAGAATAAGGAGAGAATTTTAAAAGCTACAAGAGAAAGGAAGCAGATTACATTTAGGGGCAAGCCAATCAGGATAACAGCTGATCTTTCAACACAGACTCTGAAAGCTAGAAGATCCTGGAATAACATATTTCAAACACTGAAAGATAATGGGTTCCAACCAAGAATTGTGTATCCAGCGAAATTAAGCTTCAGGATGGAGAATGAAATTAAAACCTTCCACGATAAACAAAAGTTTAAAGAATTCGCAGCTAGAAAACCATCTCTTCAAAACGTCCTAGCCAAAGTATTACAGGAAGAGGAAATGGAAAATAACAATGAAAACCAACAGTGGGAGGTAGGACAGTAAAGGGGGGGGGGAAACAATCAAAGAGGAAAACAAACAATGTTTAGTAACAGAAATAAACAAATATGGCTGGAAGAACAACCCATATCTCAATAATAACCCTAAATGTTAATGGCTTAAACTCACCAATTAAGAGACACAGGCTAGTAGAATGGATCACAAAACAAGACCCAACAATATGCTGCCTACAGGAGACGCATTTGATAGGAAAAGACATACATAGGCTGAAGGTGAAAGGTTGGGAAAAATCATATCACTCATATGGACTTCGGAAACAAGCAGGCGTGTCCATACTCATATCAAATAAAATAGATTTCAAGCCAAAGTTAATCAAAAGAGATAAAGAGGGACACTACATACTGCTTAAGGGAACCATACACCAACAAGACATAACAATCATAAATATTTATGCCCCAAACAATGGTGCAGCTATGTTCGTCAAACAAACTCTTCTCAAGTTCAAGAGTCTAATAGACCACCACACCATAATCATGGGAGACTTCAACACACCTCTCTCGCCACTGGACAGATCTTCCAAACAAAAGTTGAATAAGGAAACTATAGAACTCAATAACACTATTAATACCCTAGACCTAATTGACATATATAGAGTATACCACCCAACATCAAGCAGTTACACTTTTTTCTCAGCAGCACATGGATCCTTCTCAAAAATAGATCATATATTATGTCACAGGGCAACTCTTAGACAATATAAAGGAGTAGAGATATTACCATGCATCTTATCTGATCATAATGGAATGAAACTGAAAATCAACGATAAAAGAAGGAAGGAAAAAGCATACATCAATTGGAGAATGAACAATAGGTTACTGAATGATCAATGGGTTATAGAAGACATCAAGGAGGAAATTAAAAAATTCTTAGAGATAAATGAAAACACAGACACAACATATCGGAATCTATGGGACACATTGAAAGCAGTTCTAAGAGGAAAATTCATTGCTTGGAGTTCATTCCTTAAAAAAAGAAAAAACCAACAAATAAATGATCTCATACTTCATCTCAAAATCCTTGAAAAAGAAGAGCAAAACAACAGCAAAAGAAGTAGAAGGCAAGAAATAATTAAAATCAGAGCTGAAATTAATGAAATCGAAACAAAAGAAACAATTGAAAAAATTGACAAAACTAAAAGTTGGTTCTTTGAAAAAATAAACAAAATCGACAGACCCTTAGCGATGCTAGTGAAGAGAAGAAGAGAGAGAACTCAAATTACTAGCATACGGGATGAAAAAGGCAATATCACAACAGACACTTCAGAAATACAGAAGATAATCAAAAACTATTTTGAATCCTTATACTCCAATAAATTAGAAGATAGTGAAGGCATAGATAAATTTCTTAAGTCATATGATCTGCCCAGATTGAGTCAGGAGGATATAGAAAACCTAAACAGACCAATATCAATTGAGGAGATAGAAGAAACCATAAAAAGACTACCAACTAAGAAAAGCCCAGGTCCCGATGGGTATACAGCAGAATTTTACAAAACCTTTAAAGAAGAACTAATACCAATACTTTTCAAGCTACTTCAGGAAATAGAAAAGGAGGGAGAACTTCCAAATTCATTCTATGAGGCCAACATCACCCTGATACCTAAACCAGACAAAGACACTTCAAAGAAAGAAAACTACAGACCAATATCTCTAATGAACCTAGATGCAAAAATCCTCAATAAAATTCTGGCGAATCGGATACAAAAACATATCAAAAAAATTGTACACCATGATCAAGTAGGATTCATCCCTGGGATGCAAGGCTGGTTCAATATACGGAAATCAATAAATGTTATTCACCACATCAATAGACTTAAAAATAAGAACCATATGATCATCTCGATAGATGCGGAAAAAGCATTTGACAAAGTACAGCATCCCTTTATGTTCAAAACTCTAGAAAAACTAGGGATAACAGGAACATACCTCAATATTGTAAAAGCAATCTATGCTAAGCCTCAGGCTAGCATTATTCTGAATGGAGAAAAACTGAAGGCATTCCCTCTAAAATCTGGAACAAGACAGGGATGCCCTCTCTCTCCACTTCTCTTCAACATAGTTCTCGAAACACTGGCCAGAGCAATTAGACAGACGAAAGAAATTAAAGGCATAAAAATAGGAAAAGAAGAAATTAAATTATCACTATTTGCAGATGATATGATTCTATATCTAGCAGACCCAAAAGGCTCTACAAAGAAACTATTAGAGCTAATAAATGAATTCAGCAAAGTGGCAGGATTCAAAATCAACACGCATAAATCAAAGGCATTCCTGTATATCAGCGACAAATCCTCTGAAATGGAAATGAGGACAACCACTCCATTCAAAATATCTTCAAAAAAAATAAAATACTTGGGAATCAACCTAACAAAAGAGGTGAAAGACTTATACAATGAAAACTACAGAACCCTAAAGAGAGAAATAGAAGAAGATCTTAGAAGATGGAAAAATATACCCTGTTCATGGATAGGCAGAACTAACATCATCAAAATGGCGATATTACCAAAAGTTCTCTATAGGTTTAATGCAATGCCAATCAAAATCCCAATGGCATTTCTTGTAGAAATAGAGAAAGCAATCATGAAATTCATATGGAAAAATAAAAGACCCAGAATAGCAAAAACAATGCTAAGCAAGAAGTGTGAATCAGGCGGTATAGCGATACCAGACTTCAAACTATACTACAGAGCAATAGTAACAAAAACAGCATGGTACTGGTACCAAAACAGGCGTGTGGACCAATGGTACAGAATAGAGGACACAGAAACCAATCCACAAAACTACAACTATCTTATATTTGATAAAGGGGCTAAAAGCATGCAATGGAGGAAGGATAGCATCTTCAACAAATGGTGCTGGGAAAACTGGAAATCCATATGCAACAAAATGAAACTGAATCCCTTTCTCTCGCCATGCACAAAAGTGAATTCAAAATGGATCAAGGAACTTGATATCAAATCAGAGACGCGCCGTCTGATAGAAGAAAAGTTGGCTACGATCTACAGTCGGTGGGGTCGGGCTCCAAATTCCTCAATAGGACACCCATAGCACAAAAGTTAATAACTAGAATCAACAAATGGGACTTACTCAAACTAAGAAGTTTTTTCTCAGCAAAAGAAACAATAAGAGAGGTAAATAGGGAGCCTACATCCTGGGAACAAATCTTTACTCCTCACACTTCAGATAGAGCCCTAATATCCAGAGTATACAAAGAACTCAAAAAATTAGACAATAAGAGAACAAACAACCCAATCAACAAATGGGCCAAGGACCTGAACAGACACTTCACAGAGGAGGACATACAGTCAATCAACAAGTACATGAAAAAATGCTCAACATCTCTAGCTGTCAGAGAAATGCAAATCAAAACCACCCTAAGATACCATCTCACTCCAGTAAGATTGGCAGCCATTAGGAAGTCAAACAACAACAAGTGCTGGCGAGGATGTGGGGAAAAGGGTACACTTGTACATTGCTGGTGGGACTGCAGATTGGTGCAGCCAATTTGGAAAGCAGTATGGAGATTTCTTGGAAAGCTGGGAATGGAGCCACCATTTGACCCAGCTATTCCCCTTCTTGGTCTATTCCCTAAAGACCTAAAAAGAGCATGCTACAGGGACACTGCTACATCGATGTTCATAGCAGCACAGTTCACAATAGCAAGACTGTGGAACCAACCTAGATGCCCTTCAATAGACGAATGGATAAAAAAAATGTGGCATTTATACACAATGGAGTATTACTCTGCATTAAAAAATGACAAAATCATAGAATTTACAGGGAAATGGATGGCATTAGAGCAGATTATGCTAAGTGAAGCTAGCCAATCCCTAAAAAACAAATGCCAAATGTCTTCTTTGATATAAGGAAAGTAACTAAGAACAGAGTAGGGACGAAGAACAGGAGAAGAAGATTAACATTTAACAGGGATGAGAGGTGGGAGGGAAAGGGAGAGAGAAGGTAAATAGCACGGTAATGGAAGGAGACCCTCAGGGTTATACAGTGGAGGGGGTAGAGAGAGAGGAGGGGAGGGGAGGGGAGAGGTGGGGAGGGGGGAGGGTGGATGATGGGAAAGGCAGCGGAGCACAACAGACACTAGTATGGCAATTTGTAAATCAATGGATGTGTAACTGATGTGAATCTGCAATCTGTGTATGGGGTGAAGGTGGGAGTTCATAACCCACTAGAATCAAAGTGTGGAATATGATATGTCAAGAAATTTGTAATGTTTTGAACAACCCACAATAAAAAATTAAAAAAAAAAAAAAAAAAAAAAGAAAAGGAAATTATTTAATTAATCTTATATGCTAGGTACTTTTATAAGAGTAGGTGAAACAATACTGAATAAGACATAATCCTGGTCACTTAAATTGGTATCAGTAGAAAGGATTAGATACTGTCCAAATGTTAAGTGCCAGGCATAATACATCAATGGGTGGAAATGAAAGAGGGTGTGGACTAATTTGAGTAGCTCCATGCCCATCTAAATAACTGTATAATTCTAAGCCATTGCAACCAGAATTTGGAGAAAGGATTAACCAGTGAAGGTGGTATGTAATATGATTGTTGCATACTGCTTTGTCCAAGTTGTAGACCTGGAGCTCGTTCTGTTTTCTTAAGCCTTGACAGGCCTTGTTTGGTAGATAAAAACACACTTAATGATTTCATCTTGCCTAGGTGAACCTGAGCCACACAGTGGCAGTAAAATGGCCTTAGAATTTATTTATCTCCTACATTTTAAAAATATCAGAATAAAGTTGATTTCCTAAGCCTTCAGCAGCACCTTGGACTATAAACTTGAATTAGTTTACCAATCTTGTGACATTGCAAATGTCTATGCTGCCTACTCAAGTCTAATCTTTCAAAGATGAGTGAAATGTCACATGGGATTTGAAAGATTTCAGGAACAAAACCTTGAACCAGAAAAGTCTGCCATTGCAGCACTAGAAATTCATGATTTAAAAAAAAATATATTCATTTTCATTCATTTAATCATTAGTTCCAACAAACATTTCTCAGTGTGCTACTGTGAGTCAGGCACTGTGCCTGAGGCTAGCAATAAAAAAAATCTCAGGAGACTGAGGAGTAAAATGGAGAACTGGAATGATTCAACAGTATGATGATTAAGCACAGGTTTAAAATGTACTTGGGAAAGCCCACATGTATTTCAATAATGTTTTGTAGGAATGAATGGACCAAATGGCTTATGCCTCATTTGTGTCTGCACATTCTGGGGCAGCCTGACCACATTTGGAATTTGGGCAGGGGTAAGGGAGGGAACAGACACGAAAAGGAGTCCAGAGCTCTGAAGCAGAATTTGCATGTGCTGCTAGCATAATTCACAGCAGTGTAGCCATTTCTTGCAGTGAGATTGTCTCAGTTCATTTGGGCTGCTACAACAAAGTACCATCGCTGGGTAGAAACTCAGTTTTCACAATCTGGGAAGTCCAAGGTGAAGGTGCCTGCAGATTCCTTGTCTGGTGAAGATCAGCTTCCTCCGTTTCCCCTTCACTGAGTGTATCTTCTTGCTGGGTCCTCACATGGTGGAAGGGGTAAGGGTCTCTTATGAGATCACTGCTCTGATTCATGAGGGTCCCATCTTCATAATCCAATCACCTTGCAACACCTATTTTTCTAATACCATCTCCTTGGACATTGAGATTTCAACATATAATCTGGGGGATGGGGACACAAACATTCAGATGATAGTAGTCTTCAAGAAATTAAAGCATTAGATTTTTTAAAGCAAACTCTGGCTCAATCAGATTAGCTTATCTTTTGCTCTCTACTCCTGGCTATTGCTGCTGGATCTCAGCCCCAACAAGAACAGAGCCCTAACACTCTAACTTGTTTGAAACCTGAAATATCTTTCTCTGATTCTGGGCACAGTCCAACCATTCTGGATCCTGTCCCAGGAAATAGAATCTGATGAGGGCTTTGCTTACATGGTGCCTGTCATTTAGGCAGTGGGTGCACAATGAGGAAGGCTTGTGGGTGCATCAGGTACCATGTGTCAGATGTCCTTGAAGGACATATTGTGAAGTTATTTCTCTTTATTCCAGTTCCAAAGAAGAAACAGTAGGTGTGCATCCAACAAAGAAATAGATTATCTTTCAAAAACAACTGGATGAACATCAGGTTAGAATGTGGTTATTAAGCTAATTTCTAAACCTAATTGATAAAGAAGCCATAACTAAATATTTATAGTTATGAAGAAATGTCCATGTTATTTTACTAAATAAATAGAGCAGACTAAAAAGTAATATGCAAAAATATTTTTGGAAAATACATATAATTTGATGTATAAATACATATGATATTGGGAGTACTATGATTAAAATAGTGATAATCTTTTGTCAATAGGAGTAAAAGTATTTTTCCTTTATGATTTTCTGTCTTAAGGTTTGTTATTGCATTAAGGCATTTATATCAAAATTTTGCATACATAAGTAATTTGATAGAATTAACAATGCAAGATGAATCACAGACTAAAATAGCAAATACCTTCATTTTGGTTCCTAAAAGGTGGTCATCTGATGACTTCAGAGTTATAATTTCATTAGGATTGTTATTAAAAATAAAAATGTATGTGGAAATGACATGCTTACCTTCAGCAGGTGAGACATAAAATGTTTCTTAATTTCACTTTAGGCAAAATTAAGTTGTAGCTCGATGAGTCCAGTGCCCTTTGCTAATAAGAATAGTAATAAAATAAAGGTATGAATATGCATTATCTTCTGCATTTCTCTTTCTCAAATGTACCATCAAGAACATTTTGCAGACCTCCTGGCTTTTCTTATTTCAGAACACCAGATGGACATGGAAGCACACAGTGTGCTAGAAACATTACTCCTCCCACTCAAGATTTGTACTGACAGATTCTACTCCATAATTCCCTTTAAACTGTATCATAGCCAATGCCATTATGGAATTAGCTCAATGCCAGCAAATCTAATGGTTGGTAGGGTTTATTCCAATAAAAGCTAAGCTGCTGATACTTAATTGGGATTGTCAAGATGCTAGTTTGGGTCAGTTTGTAACTTTCTTGTATTTTCTGCTATTAAGATCCAAATCATATTGTCATTACTTTGCAAAACTTTAGTTTGGCATGGAAACAGGGTCAGATAAATGGAATTCTTGCTGCAGGTTGATATTAGCATGTGCAATTGATAGAAGTGTATACACCACACCACAAATTTCATCCAAAGTTAAGTTTTCCAGTAATTCCCTTGTTAAAGGGAATTTAAGAAGGGAATATTTTGCACATCTGGAATTGTAATCATCACATTTTCACTCGTTTTGTAATCCATGGAGCTTTTATGTGCAGTGTGACATATCTGCTAGCCAATCTCTGCAAAGCCATTATTGACTCAATCCTTTGAATACCCCTTGAAGAAGAAGGCTTTTTAGCAGCTTCTGGTTGGTGCAATCTTAGAGCCTTACCTGATACCTTCTTTGACATTTTAACACAAAATCATAAGTGAGTTATTAAGGAATTACCTTTTATTAAGTCATTTGCAAAAGATGCTTATTCTTTGAAAATAGGTTTGAAAAAAATCCAGTATTTATCCTCTTTTCCCATGGAATTGTATAATGTTAATCCCAATGCTAAATTCCCAACTTAGTTGATACAAAATACTTTTGGCATCTTACCATCTGTATTAAAAATCATAACAACACCAGTGATGACAGTAATCTGTAAATGCACATAATAATTTAAAGAGTGGAGCCATCTTTATGTTTCTCCTATAAATCCTGCCTGAGTTGTTGCTGATGCTTTTTAAGCAGCATACTGTAGACACTTTTGCACATCTGGAATTGCAATCATCACATTTTCACTCATTTTGTAATCCATGGAGCTTTCATAGCAGTATGACATATCTGCTAGCCAATCTATACAAAGCATTATTGACTCAACCCTTTGAATACCCCTTGAGGAAGAAGGTTTTTTAGCAACTTCTGGTTGGGGCAATCTTAGAGCCTTAGTCCAGTGAGGGAAATGATAGAGAAATCAAGTTTAGTTTTTCTATATAATACCTCTGGCAACCTGTAGAATACACTATGTAGTACCATTAGTGCTTCTAGAGTGTTTGCAGGCAGGGCTGATATTGCTGGGCCACCATCCAAGGAAAGGTAGTTATATTATAGCAGCTCTATAAACCAATGCTTGCACATGTTGGCATGAAAGGCTGATAAGGACCCTTCTGAGTATAGATAGTGGAATAATTTAAGCCCTGTCACAAGCAACTTTCTGGACAGAGTCTCAAGAAAAACTGTGATATCAGTGTAATCTAGTGTGGACAATCTTTTCAGAACTTCAACTTGACATTTTTGGAATGCAGGAAGCTCATGTTACTTTCAAAGTTAAAATTTAACTGTCATTGATTAACTGTGTGAGACTTTTACATAGTTATACCCAACCTATGGGTTTTTTATCTCTCCTGACTTTGCCATTCCCAATTTTTTTTATTAGTGATAGCTAATATAATAAACTGATCTGTGATGAAAAAGGCAGCTTTTCTTCTTTAGAGATTCTAAAGTCTTTCTGGGGGCAGATGCTTCACCATTACAATCAAAAAGTAAGATTATATAAAAAACTGTAGGTAAGCATGATACAAATTCATGCTTACATTGTGATAGATATTGTGAAAGAGAAGCACCTTTCAAGGGTTCTATCTCAAATAATAAACTTAAGGCTATTACACCATAAATTATATCACTTTTGTGTTACACACACACACACACACACATTCACATGCATACAGCATTGTCAGGTAATCTTTCAATTTTGCTGTCTATTGAGATTGAGTCTCTTGTTTGAATCATGACTTTTTAGAGCAGGAAGGGACTTTTGGGGATAATGTGATCTAATCATCCTATTTTTCAGATGTAGAACCTGAGAACTAGGAAAATTAATGGTGTGCCCAGAGTCACACAGCCAGTTAATGACAATCTGGTCTAGAAATCCTGATGCTTGATTCTTAGACAGTGAGGTCTGCCCTGTCTGCAAGTCAAACACCCAGGGATCACTGAGGTACCATTCTGTGAATTACTACTCAAAGTCATTAAGGTTCTTTATTCCTGAACATCTTAGAAGCAATTTCAAGAGTAGTGCTCCAACAGACCTTGAGAATTAGTAAGGCTTCCTAAAGTGCTCCTTTTAGTCCCCAAAGGAAATTCACTAGCAAGGATATATTCATTATGCTCAAAGAGCTCAAAATACCATATATTTTGATCACGAATATCATCCTACAAATGAATGCTTCTGGGAAAAAAAAACCTAATATACAGATGGTTTGCATATCTTAGAAACACAAAGATTTACATTTTGCTTTCTTTGTGGAATTATTAAAAAGCAATCTATCACTCCTATTCTTTCTTTTCTTTTCTAAAAGAGTATTTAAACTGTTGTTGATGGGAGTGCTGCAGAAATTTAAATATTTCTAGATTTCTTCAAAGTATCAGATGTTCTTTTGTGATATGATGGAGGAGAATAAGCTCAAATAATAGTATAATAATCCACACTTATCCATGGATGATATATTCTAAAACCTGCAATGGATGCCTGGAAATACAAAAAGTACCAAATCCTTTCCATACTGAATTTTTCAAACATAATACATGTATACCTATGATAAATTTTAATTTTTAAATTTGGCACAGTAAGGGTTAATAACAATAACTAATAATAAAATAGGACAATTAAAACAATATACTGTAATCAAAGTTATGTGACTATAGTCTCTTTCTATCTCTTCATCTCTCTCTCTCTCTCTCTCTCTCTCTCTGTCTCTCTCAAAATATGTTGTTGTTCTATACTCACCCTTCTTGTGATGATATGAATTGATACTATGCATATATGATGAGATAAATCAAGGGGAATGACATAGGCACTCTGATTTAGCTTTAGACTATTATGTAAGGATCACTAGAACATAAGCACTGTGGTACTTGGACATTTGACCTGATAACCAAGAAGGCTACTGAGTGACGAAAAGGTGAGTAGTGTATACAGAGTGGATACACTGAACAAAGTGTATCCACTGAACAATGTATACACTGAACAATGATTCAAGTTCCAAAAAGGAAAATGCTGGCCAGTGTGAAATTTCATTATGCTACTGAGAACAGCATGTAATTTAAAACTCATAAGTTGTTTACTTTTCTGTAATTTTCCAAGTAATATTTTTGGGCCATGGTTGATTTCAGGTAACTGAAACTGCAGAAAGCAAAATGGCTGATAAGGAGGACAATTGCAGAGTTATAATATGGCTAAATTGTTGCTTGAATAATGATACTCAAGGAAATGGATTTACAAAAGCTAAGAAAGACAATTATGTCCAGCATCATGCTCTTCTTGGCCTTGGCCTGAAAATAAAGATGATTATTATCCGACACTATAATTGTTTGTTTTTGCTCTTCTCTCAAAAGCAATGTAGTTTGCAATTATATCTGTAGTATCACAGGAAAGTATTATTTAAAACAAGAAAACAAAATTGAAACAAACTGAGACAAGTTTAAACCAAGTATGAGGTTGGTACTCCAAATACATTCCATAAATACGATTCATCTTCCACAGAGCAGTGGAAATTTAACCACTTCTCTTAAGATTTTTATTCAAAAAGAGAGGTTAGGGTCAAGCATGTAGGCTCAGTTTTTCATCTTTGAAGTGAGTATAGTAATAGTTTGTACCTAAAAAAGATGACAATTAAATGAGATAATGCTGTAGAGATCTTTAACACAGTTCTAGGTACAAAGAGCTAGATTAGTATTTGTTATATCAACAGTACATCTATACTACTTATCAAATAATATTCTTTTAATTATGTTTTTCTAGATCATGAGTCTCTGATGCCCATTTTATTACTTGATACACAAAAGGTACTCCATAAATATGCATTTACAGCAAAATATCTGAAGATTTCATAATGGTTTTAGGGATAAACAATTTAGAAAACAATAGATCAATCTCCACACAATTTTAGATACACTGCAAATAAGAACTTAACAGCCAAAGCCCAAATATAATTGGGAAACATGTAAATTCCTGTTTTTAGAAATGAAAAAAAAAAATCAGTTACAAAAGTGAAAGGTGTAAAAAATCCAGGCCAAGAGCAATTCACTTGAAAACTTCAGGAGTTCAAATGGACATAAAACCAATGTCAACTAAAAATGTTAAAGTGCTAAAAGTGTGCTGGATGATTATGAATAACGAGAGCACTTATTGAAATAGATAATTCAGGTTTTATTCTACACAGAGATACTAATAGTTTGCAGATTTGAAAAAAGTGAATTACAAAGAGTCAGTTGCCTTTGTAAGGACACACAGTGAGTATGTGTGTCCTTAAACTACTTTTCAGATTCTGAATCCAACAATCCCTGGCTTACAATATTGATATTCTGGGTGTGATGTGATATGCACATCAAGGTGGGAAAGGGTTAATGCATGCTACAGTGCAAAGGGTGCATTTAAATATATTGACATTCTGAAGAATTGCAGGGAAAGGGTTAATATCATTTGAGAAACACTTGATGGAACAAAGGAATTGAATATTTACAAGACAAAATTTGAAACTGAACAACTCTAGATGCCACCAAACATTAAAGGTCTATAATTTTGGTAATGCTTTCAGATAACTTGTTCATTTAGCCATCGGGAGAAATTCAAGTACAATCCAATGGACATTGTTTTAAATATTAGATACATCTAATAATTGATAAGTTTCCTTCAAAAAGTAACACATTTCTTATTATTAGAGGGGTGTCTGCCATAAGGACCTTAAACTTTACCTTGCTACATAAAAATCTGTTTTTCTTACTAAAAATATTGCTTTTTTAAAATAATATTCAAATTCTTTTTTCTACTATCAGCCTCCCCATAAGTTTTCCCTTCCATTGTACTTTATGAAAAATATAAAAGCCAAACCTGGACAAGACTGCTTAACCTTTATAACTGCTTTAGGTAAAACTTCAGGGTTCTCAGTTATTCATAGCTTCCTAGTCGTCTGATTTCCTGCTTCTGACTTGACTTTTGATGAACATTCAGACTTCCTTCCCTAACTCATGTTTTCAGATTTCTAGTCCATTTTTACCCTACCTCAGTATATTTACTGGACTGGAGTTAAAATACAACAAATTTAGGTGGAAACTTGTTTTCCTCCCCTCTATCCACCAGATTCCCGGGAGTTAGCTAGAAACCCATCATCTTATTTTCCAGGTCCCACTAGAAATTCTCAGATGTCAATGACACCACACCTGTCCTTGAAACTGAAGGCCCAACAACTGTCAACTCATAAAAGTATGGGATAGAAAAATCTTTCTGGTAGCAGGTTAAGTCAAGAGAATTTTTTTTAAAAAAAAGACACTGAAATTCAAGTAGCAAGTAAGCCCACTGATACATGTCATACAAAAAATGATATTTACTGTTTAAGAGTCACCATCTTGTGTCTGCTTCTGCTTAGGCAGATAGTTTGAATTTCCACCGGACAATCTTCCTACCTTGTTTCTATCAGAGAAGCAAATAGTCTAATTGCAGATAGTTACTCCATGAATCAAGGGACTCTTATTCTAGCCAGACAATATAGATATAAGCACCTAAGTGAATAGTAAGTAACAGCTGATCTAGTTTCATGGCATCTATTTACAGTACTTGCCTCTCTGGACCTGATCTCTTGTTCAATTTTAGATTATGTTCACATTCCAGAGATAACCAAGTGACCCTGTATTGATAGATCCAATGATCTATTCAGTGGATCTTCAGGTACTATTTCATGAGGCCAGATATTTACTAAACACCTATCTTAGGAAAATATTTAATTCTGGCCAAACATGTCCTTCTAGCCTTCACAAATCAATTCATGTTCTGTCCTCATGCCTTTGCTTCTCAGGTGTTGCCTTTCCAGAATAAATCTCTCTGCCAATCCATTCTCTCCTGATTAATATTAAGTGGAACTAGGTTCCTTTTTCCTTCATTAAGTCTCAATAGGACTTTAGCATCAAAAGGATTTTTTTAATTTAAATTCCTGTAAAACATATATTTATATTGTCAACCAGTCTATCCTACATTTGCTTGCAATCTTTTTTTAATTGACCTTCACTAAGTTGAAAGAAGGTCATAGACTTAACTCACTCAAATCTTTTTGGCATCCCTAGCTTTAATTTGCTGTGGAGCCAGCCATGGGCAAATTATTCAACTCCTCTGAGTTTTATTTTCTTTTTCTTTTTTAATAGATTTTATTTTTTTAAATACATGACAGTGGAATGCATTACAATTCTTTTTACACATATAGAGCATGATTTTTCATATCTTTGTATATAAAGTATGCTCATGCCAATTCATGTCATTATACATGCACTTTGTTTTTTTGCATTACAATTCTTATTACACATATATACCACAATTTTTCATATCTCTGGTTGTATAAAAAGTAAGTGTCTTCATACATGTACTTTGTATAATGATGTCCATCACATTCCACCATCCTTGCTAATCCCCTGCCCCTTCCCTTTCCCTCCCACCCCTATTCCCTATCTAGAATTCATCTATTCCTCCCATGCTCCCCTTCCCTACCCCACCATCAGTCAGCCTCCTTATATCAGAGAAAATATTCGTCATTTGTTTTTTGGGGATTGGCTAACTTCACTTAGAATTATCTTCTCCAACGTCATCCATTTACCTGCAAATGCCATGATTTTATTCTCTTTTACTTCTGAGTAAAATTCCATTGTGTATATATGCCACATATTTTAATCCATTCATCCACTGAAGGACATCTAGGTTGGCTCCACAGTTTAGCTATTGTGAATTGTGCTGCTATAAATATTGATGTGGCTATGTTCCTATAGTATGCTGTTTTTAAGTCCTTTGGTTATATACCGAGGAGAGGGACAGCTGGGTCAAATGGTAGTTCAATTCCCAGAATTCCAAGGAATCTCCATACTGCTATCCATATTGGCTGCATCAATTTGAAGTCCCACCAGCAATGTATGAGTGTACCTTTTCCCCACATCCTTGCCAACCATTATTGTTGTTTGTCTTCCTCTTATATTAGACAAAGGTGCCAAAAACATGCACTGGAGAAAAGATAGCATCTTCAACAAATGGTGCTAAGAAAACTGGAAATTCATATGCAACAAAATGAAATTAAACCCCTATCTCTCACCATGCACAAAACTTAACTCAAAATGGATCAAGGACCTAGGAATTAAACCAGAGATTCTGCGTCTAATAGAAGAAAAAGTAGGCCTAATCTTCATCATGTGGGATTAGGCCTCAACTTCCTTAGTAAGACTCCTATAGAGCAAGAATTAAAACCAAGATTCAATAAATGGGATGGAATCAAACTAAAAAGTTTCTTCTCAGCAAAGAACATTCTGTGAGGTAAACAGAGAGCCTACATCCTGGGAGCAAATTTTTACCCCTCACACATTAGATACAGCACTAATCTCTAGGGTATATAAAGAACTCAAAAAGCTAAGCACCAAAGAAACAAATAACCCAATCAACAAATGGGCCAAGGACCAGAACAGACACTTCTCAGAAGAGGATATGCAATGAATCAACAAATATATGAAAAAATTCTCATCATCTCTAGCAATTAGAGAAATGCAAATCAAAACTACTCTAAGATATCATCTCATTTTCTTTAAAAATAAATGAGAACTTATTCTTACCTTGCTGCTTTTGAGAAAATATCTCTTCGCCTATAGAATGTATTTGATAAATAATAATTTTGCCCCTCCTTCCAACATTTCATGAACACCTTTTGTGTCCCCAACTGAATTCTTAAATACACATGTGTACAGTGTCTTCTACTATATCCATAGATCTTTGTTGTGCTGAGTACCTATTGAGAGTACAATAGATATGGTTAGTGAAATAAATGGTAATAGTGGTAATAATCATGATGATAATAACAATAATCATAGCTATCTTAGAGATCCTTTGTCGCATAAGAACCACCTCAAAGCTTAGAGGCTAAAAAAAAAAATTAGGGAACTATTTACAGAATGACAATATGAAAAGAGCAGTAGACTCTTCTGTCCAGTGAAACAGTCATAGCTGGGTAAATCATTGAAAAATCTCTAGACATTGTCCTTAGGATGTACAGAAGACAGAGAAATATGCAATCAAGAAAATCTACTGAATTTGTAAAGAGCAACATGAATTGGTGGCATTTGAGTCACAACAGACACCCTCATTTCTCCTTCTAATCTTACTATGATGGACACTCCATTCAAGGTGGGTGAGATCAAACACCTAAGGCTCTCCCTACACCTTCTAGTCAAAGACTAGTATTTAACTTGGAGGAGCAGGTCAACAAACCTTTCATCACCAATATCCTTGTTCTGTGTTGCAGAATCAGCATGGTGAGCAGACAGGCATTTGACTCTTCTTGTTGACAAGATTCCATTGAGATTATCTAATTCAATTTTTCTTTAAAAAATAGTCTATAACAGTGTTAATAAAGAATTTTAAGGGCTGGGGTTGTGGCTCAGTGGTAGAGCACTTGCCTCACATATGTGAGGCACTGGGTTTGATTCCCTGGCACCACATAAAAATAAACAAATAAAATAAAAGTATTGTGTCAATCTACAACTAAGAAAATCTTTTTTAAAAAAAGAATTTTAAGAACCAATAATTTTTCTAATGTCTAGAAATAAAGCACATGTGATTATATTGAAAGATAAATAGACTGGAGGAAATTGAAATCACAACTATGCCCAGGAGAAAGATGAAACATGAGTAAGTATTTTTTCCATCAGAATCCCAGTCACAAATATAGGACTACTGACACAGAGAAGGAATGGGATAATACAGGTATTACTTCCATCAAAGTAGTCATGAAAGACTGACACAGACTGGCTTGGCCAATCAAACCCTCCAAGTACCATGATATTAGCTTTTCAATATACTAATTAAACAATCTTTCCACTAGAAATTAATCCTAAAACAACAACAACAACAAAAAAAATAGACTGTTTTTTTCAGTACTGAGGATTAAACCTAGAGGTGCTTTACCACTGAGCTATATCCTCAGTTCTTTTTATTTTTTATTTTGAGACAAGGTCTTGCTAAATTGCAGAGTCTGGCCTTGAATTTATAATCATCTGCCTCAGTCTCCCAAGTTGCTAGGATTATAGGCAGGTACCCAGCAATTATAGATTTTGTATGATAATAACATTTAATAATGTCTTAAATGTTCAATAAAATTTAAAGACTATGTATACCATACATTAATATTTTAATGATGGCCACCATATAGTGGATTATTTTGCATATTTTCCTGTATTTGCAAGATTTTATGCATTGGCATTTATAAAATTAACATGTGTCTTACAAATAAGAAAGATAATATTCCTACAGAATCATCACAAATTTTAGTACAGTTTCTTCTTGGCATAACCCCTCTTGATGAAGTTAAGTTCAAACGCTCTGCCTTCAATGGATCTGAAAAACAGTTTGAAAAGCTCTTTACTTGGCTTCAGGGAAACAATGGACTATTTGTGTCTGGCCAGATGTATGGTTATGATTACAATGTCATCTTCTCTTAGAAGAATGGCCACTTAAGCCAGATGAAAGGCCATTCACAAGTATGCCCTAAATAAGTGGATAAAACTGTTTTGAAGCTGTTTTGGCAATTGATGCTAAATGATATTCAGTCACATGTTTTAGACAGACTCAGAAATATGTGAGAAAAGGAATACAGAGATCCACCAAAAAAAAAATGGAAATCTAACAAAATTTGTACTTTCTAAAAATCTATTAATTCACTTATCAAAAAATATTTATATAAGACTGAGGAAGCAAATATGGTTAATATTCTATGTGTGTCCTTAAGTAGTCCAGTGAGGGGTGCCAACATGTATACAAGTAATTGCATGGCAATTGTATATGTGTCAGTGTAGACTATGAAAAGAGATGCAAGGTGTCATGGGGAAAGTTATGAGAGTGACAAACTGCAAATGTAGAATGGCTTGTGTATTGCTTCATCTTTTTTGATTGCTGGCATCTGGATAATCATGCCAGGATATAGGACACACAGTGAATAGTCTCACTTTCAGATATGCAGAATGGCAGCCCCAGGAAAGGAAAACATCATGGTTTTAAAATTTCACAAATATCTCCAAGTGGTGGTTTTGAATTTACCACTTCCTAGCTTTATCAGTTAGTAATGCATTGGGTTTCTCAAAGGCTTAAGTTTATGTTTTATTAAATAAATGTATCATTATCTCAAATTATAACACTTAAAAGATAGTTTATAAGTCTATTTGGCTGCTATTAAAAATTTTTATAAAGTGAAGGACTTGTAAACAACATTTATTTCTCACGTTTCTGGAGACCAGGAAGTTCAAATCAAAGCACTGGTAAATTCGGTGTTGGGTTAAGGACCTATTTCCTGATTCATGGTTGAAACCTTCTTGCTATATTTTCACATGATGGAAGAAACAAATGAGTTCTCTTAGTCTCTTTTATTAAGGGTGCTAATCCTATGTATGAGGGCTCTACTTCCTGACATTATCACCTTCCAAAGGTGATATCCTCTTAACTCCATCACATGGGGGTTATGTTTAAACATATTTATCAAGGATGGGAACTAGGAACAAAAACATTTAGACCATAGTAATAGGCATTTTATATTTCTTCTTGAAAAGTCTATCAACAGCACTGATTCTTTTGTGTGTCTAAGAATGGTCTGATTTTTCTTCCTGAAAATGCAAGATGGTAAAGGAGGTACTATGTTGGTGGCTTAAGGAACTGTGTGCCAGGTGGAGAACTGGCAAGTGCCAAGCACTTGATCTTCTGTCAGGATAAAAACTAGCATGGAATGCTAGATTCCTTCCTGTATGCCATCTTCTCAAATGTAGTTCATCAAGTAGCCTATCCCTGCCCACTTCAAATGTGAAATAGCAACCACTTCTTCCCTACCCATGCTCATCTCTCTTGTCTTTTTTTGTTACCCCATCAACTTCAAAGTTGACATATCTTTATTTTTATATTCATTTATCTCTCTGTTAATTGTAAATTCCATGAAGGGAAGAAATTTAGTTTTTTTCCCTTGTTTGTTTATTGCCATATGTTCCACACTAAGACTACCCTCACATGCTTAGACATTCAGTAAATGTTTACTGAATGAATGGATGAGTGGAGTGCTAGTATATTACATATCTGTCTCATCATTTTCACTGTGTACAAAGCAAGCATTTGTGAAGTTCTGCTGTTCTGAAGTGCATTCTTTTCAACTCCTGCTGTCCAAAGGCAACCTAATGGAATCCAGGAAAACTGCAATACTTAGCATGTGCTCTGATATATCTTTCAGATTTCCTTTGCTTTTTTTTTGCTCACCATATTTTACTTTAAGGAATTAATTTTTCAGAATTCATGTTGAATTGGGTAGCACACACCTGTAATCCCAGCAACTCAGGAGTCTAAGGCAGGAGGATTGCAAGTTTGAGAACAACCTCAGCAACTTAGAAACTTAGTGAGACCTTGTCTCAAAATAAGACATACAAAAGGGCAAGGGATGTGGTTCAGTGGTAAAGCACTCCTGGGTTCAATCCCTGGTAGAAAGAAAGGAAGGAAGGAAGGAAGGAAGGAAGGAAGGAAGGAAGGAAGGAAAGAAAGAAAGAAAGAAAGAAAGAAAAAAGGAAGGAAGGAAGGAAGGAAGGAAGGAAGGAAGGAAGGAAGGAAGGGAGGGAGGAAAGAAAGAAATGCTATATTGCAAAATCTCATGCTATTGCTCTATGGGAATTGTAGTCTGAATTGTAGGAACATTCAGACAGTCCCACAATAAACAGCAATTCCAAAGGAAAAAAAAAGTCTCGCATTTTCCTGTTTATAAAAAGCTGTTGCTTCAACCAGAAACTATGCAACTGAAGAGGAATTTAGAATTTTTTTTCACCTTTTTTCAGATGGGAAGGGTCACTTGATTTCCTGAGACAAAGCATGAGTGAGGTATTGAAAACATTTCTCAACTAATGGAAATTTCATCCTAATTCTAACCAAAGATCAACACTTATAATTTTCAGCTTTTATATTTTCATTAATTTATTACTTATTTTTGTGTTCTCACAGGTATGTTTTCTGGAAAATATGCTAGGTAGTGTTACAATCCACCAGATGACTTTTTTAACCTCAAAGCAATAATTGGCATCTATAGGTTATCAAACATCTGTTAGTGATGTTAAAGAAAAAAAATAAACTGCTTCTAATTCCTATATGGGATTAGGTAGAATTTAAATTTTCTCCCAACTATTATATGTATTCCAGTAAATATGCCTACACTTGATTCAAGATAACATATTTTAGAAATATAAAAATATTACCTTACATTTATCTCATTTATCTGTTGCTTTAGAGTTCACAAATTATCTGCACAAACTCTTGGCAGAGGGGCTAGGGTTTTGGCTCAGTGGTAGGGCGCTCGCCTCGAATGTGCAAGGCCCTTGGTTCGATCCTCAGCACTACATAAAAATAAATAAATAAGTAAAATAAAGGTATTGTGTCCAAGTACAACTACAAAAAAAATATATTAAAAAAAATTGGGCTGGGGCTGTGGCTCAGCGGTAGCACACTTGCCTGGCATGAGTGAGGCACTGGATTCGATCCTCAGCACCACATATAAATAAATAAAGGTCTATCAACAACTGAAAAAAAATAAAAAAAAAATTCTTGGCAGAAACTGCTAATTGCTTACCTGGATATTAAAATTGTGATTTTTGTTGGGTCAGACAATATGCCCAGCTTGAAAACATTATCCTCCCTTGATGCAGTTAGGCATTTGCCCTATTTTTAAATGAGGAACCAACTTGTGACTGAATAAGAGCAAGGCAAAAATGCAAGAGT